AAATCTTCTGGAGGAAAAAGTAGGTAGAAATCTTAAAGATATAGGCGTAGAGAATTCATGGACAAAAACCAAACTGCATGGGAAATATCTCAAGGAATCAACAACTGGGATCTCATCTTTTTGAGAAGTTTATGCACATCAAAAAAAAAATCACCAACAGAGTAAAAAGAAAACCCAGGAATTAGGAAAAAATTACAGCCAACTGTCCCTCAGATAAAGTCCTTCTATCTAGAACATATAAGGAATTTTCTTTAAAAAAAAATCAGGCCCCCAAAATTCAAAGACCCACTCCAAAAATGGCATCTGAGATGAATACACACTTCTCAGATGAAGAAATACAAATGGCAAATAAACATAAAAAAAGTTCACCTACTTTGAAGACAGCATTATACAATACAGCAACCACTGTTCAACTCCTATTGATTTGTTTGGTGAAGTTCTGTATCATTTCTCCTGTTTTTGTTTTTACTATTTTGCATTCTCTTTACTAATAAAAAGAGAAAATGTTCAGCATTATTGGTCATTTGAGAAATGCAAATTAAAACAACGCTGAGATTCCATTTCACCCCAGAAATAACAGCTGTCATCAAGAAGTCAACAATAACAAGTGCTGGGTAGGCTGTGGGAAAAAAGAGCTCTTCTCCACTGTTGGTAGGAGTGCAGACTGACACAAACACTCTGGAAATCAGTGTGGAGATTCCTCAAAAAGCTAGGATTGGAGGTCCCATTCAAGCCAGCTGTTACCCTCCTGGTACTTTCCCAGAAGAACTGAAAACGACATACCACAGAGATATATGTGCACCTGTGTTTATTGTAGCACAATTTGTCATAGCTTAATCTTGGAAACAACCCAGATGGCCATCAACTGAGGAATGGATAAAAAAGATGTGGCATTTTCACACATTGGAGTATTACTCAGGTATAAAAAAGGATAAATTTGAGTATTTTATAGGCAAATGGATGCAATTAGAGACCATACTTATACGTAAAATAAATCAGACCTGCATATGCAAACATCATATTGTCTTGCTAGTGCAAGACCTGAAAGAGTAAATAAATTCTGAAAGGCATACTAGATACTGTGAAAGGGAAAGAATCTGTTCAAAGGGAAGGAAAAACAGATTAGAAAAAGGACAAGAGAAGGAGGGAGGGGGAGGAAAGATATATTTATGTACATATGCAGGATGGCTTGGATAATTCTACTGCTAATTTCTGCTGTTCTAGACAGGGAACAGTTGATGCTTAAATTTGTCTTTCTTGTCCTTTTTAAGTTCTTATAACTTTTTCCTTGCTTTTAAAACCAATTTTGCATGCTTATGTCTGATAATCTGAACAACTAATTTGAAGACAACATTATGCAATACAGCAACCACTGTAGAATTCCCATTAGTTTGGTGAAGCTCCGTATGGGTTTTTTTTTTGTTTTTTGTTTTTTTTTGCTTGTTTGTTTTTTACTATTTTGTATTCTCTTTAGATAATAATATAAAAAGAAGGGCTGGTGAGATGGCTCAGTGGTCTAAAGCACCTACTTAGAACAAGCTAAGCAAAAGCACAGGGACCACGGTTCAATCCCCAGCACCACATGCCAGCCAGCCCCGCCCCCTGGTGGGCTGAGCTGGCCACACACAAAAAAAATAAATAAATAAATAAATATTTTTTTTTAAATATATATATATATATAAAAAGAATTAAAACTACAGAGAAGTCACAAGACCTATACAACTATCGCATACACTTTATTTAGATACATCAATTAAAGCTTTGCCATATTAATCTTTGCTCAACCATTTGAGAATAAATTGTATACATCACTTATTCTCAAATGCTAAGCCATAGCATTGAAGCAATATTTATATCTAATATGTATATATATCTAATACCTATATTCATATTAGATATTCATATCTAATCCATACTGAAATTTCCACAAGTGTCCTGAAAATCTCCATTTTAACATATTTTTTCGAATCATGTGTTGCCTTTAGTGGCATCTCATTAATCCTCTAATCCTAGAACTATTCCTTAGGCTTTGTCTTTCCAAACTGACTCTTTTAAAGAACATAGGTCAGCTGTTTAACAGAATGTTTCTCACTTTGCATTTTTGATTGTTTCTTTGTGATAGACTCAGCATATGCCTTTTTACAGAGATATCACATGAGACAAGTGTGTTATAACATCAGGAATCACATCACGTCATTTTATTCCATAATTGGTGACGTCGATCATCTGGTTAGGATGGCATCTGTCAGATTTCTATATTGTAAAAGTGCCTTAGTCAAATCTTTATAATGAATAAAAATCAAAAACTACTTTCAGATTGTGTTCCCTGGACCAGCTTCACCCAATCATTTTAACATCTATTGATAATACTTGTCTAAAGTCAATTGTTACTATAATACAGTGGTCCCTCACTTATCGCAAAGTTTACATTCCAGACGTTCCCATGATAAGCGAAAATCAACAAAGTGGGATGTTATATTTATTTTAGTATTTACATATATTTTAAGACTTTATAAAACCTTCCCACACTCTTATAAGCCTTTCCCATACTTTTAAGAACACTTCTAATGTTCTTAACCATTTTCTAAACTTGTAAATTTACATGATTTTAACAACATATGTATACTGTACAGTACTGCAAAATCCTGCAATATAGCAAAAAATCTGTGATAAGTAATTTAGATTAATATATTTTGAAAACCGTGAAACAGTGAGTCCATGAAAAATCAAGCCACAAAACAGCGAGGGACTACTGTAATGTCAAATGATGATTTCATAATTTCATCATTTTGGGGAGATGGCTCAGTGGAATAAGTGCTTCCCTGGCAAGTGCAAGGGCCTGAGTTCAATCCCTGGTTCCGCAAAAGAAAATAATAAAAATAAAAATAATAATTTCATCATTTTCTTCTATATGTATTAGTTTGACACTCCACAGCTGACACCCCTCACTTCATATATTATATTTAAAAATTAAGGTTAATGTATATATTCCTGGACTCTTAGAAATCTAATTTCTATGCTGGTGAGGCTGTGGGGAAAAGGGACCCATCTATATTTTTGGTGGGTAAACTACCACAATTACTATGCAAATTGGTATGGAGATTTCTCAAAAACACTGAAAATAGAAATTCCATTTGACGCAGATACGTCTCTTCTGGGCATCTTCCTACAAGAGTTAAGTTCTATTCAGTGATACAGGCATACCCTTATTTATAGCAGCACAACTCACAATTGGTAAACTTTGGAAGCATGCTACATACCCATCAACAAAAGACTGGATAAAGAAAACATGGTATACTCATACAATGGAATACTATGTATCCATAAAGAAGGATAAATTTGAGTCACTTGTAGGAAAATGGATGCACCTTTAGTCTGCAATGTTGTGAGATAAATCGGATACAGAAAGCTACATAAAGAAAGTAACATAGGGTTTCTCTTATATAAGAAACCCAAAGCATAAATCAAGACTGAAATGGAAGATAGATGACAGGAAACAGAAGTCGACTTTGTCAAGATTAAAAAAGATTTGGGGATGGAGGAGATGGGAGGGTGGGGAGAAGGAATTAAGCAGGATTAAGATGTGATGTGGAGGTGTACCAATTCTCCACAATGAATTTATTATGTATCACAAACATACTAAGAAAAATAAATCCAATGTCTATCACTCTCTATTCACTCTTGATACTTAAACTGTCTCCGATTTGCTAAGTGGTGATAACTACAAAGTCTCCTCTTCTCTTTCGGCTTACCCTCCTCGACACACACAAGCACTCACTTGCTCTCTGGTCCCACATCAAATCTTTCAAGGCCTTTGTACTTTCCCTGTCTCTGGCTTGGAATGAACCATTTCTCCAAGGAGTCTAGTTCCTTTTAGTAGAGAACGGTGTTCAGAAACCAAGACCTAGATTCATACGATATATCTCAAAATATTAAACTCTCACTGTTCCTGCTTGCCGGGGTGGCCGTACGGAAGATTCTGTGCGTGGGTTTCCAGCCCTAACTCTAGCACTACCTGTGTGACCCTGGCATTTCTGTTCATTGCACGCAGCCTGCTTCATCGTGTGAGAACAAAACTGGATTAGCTAAATATTTCTCAATCTTTTCAGGGTCACCAACAGTTTGCGAATCTGAAGATAGACTCGATGGTCTGTCTCCTCTCCCCAGCGTCGCGTCGCACTAAGCAAACCTGTGTCCACAGCTTAGGGCGCTCAGGCCTCGAAGTCCGGAGCAGGTTGCTTCGCTCTAAAGTCTCTTCGACTCTTGACGTTCTGTGAGGGACCAGATGCCGACAGGGTGCTTCTTCAAAGACGGCAAAAGATGAATAGATTCAGCTAGAACAGGGCAAGAAAGAGGCACAAAGAAAAGAGGCCGTGAGCACCGCGGCGCCCGGCCACCTTGTTCACGGGAGCCAAATTTAGGGCGTTGCACTCCCAGGTGAGAGATTTTGGCGGGAAGCTCCGCAGGTGGGCGGGGAACCCCGGGCGCGCCGGGCGCCGCAGGCCCGAGGCGGGCGGCTGCACCCCTCGGAACGGCCCACCAGGGCTCGCTCTCGTCCCGCAGCTTCCCGGCCCCGGGATGGGGGCGGGCCTGGCGGAGACCCCGCCCCTGGCAGCACCGAGGCGGAGGGAGAGGAGCGGGGGCCGCG